AATACGCTGTCGGTCAGGCAACACATTAGCCAGGTATTATGGTTGAAATGTGTAATCGGCGTGATATGAGGGCGCTACGAACTGCGATTGTGGCGTTCAGATCGATGTTAATATTAAACATCAGCATTTTCGGGCCCTTTATAGTCAAAATAGTGCATATATCGATTTTAAACTATTTGCCTACCCTTCAACACACATAAGTTCGAAAAAAATGACACCACTGAACTCGCGTTGAACCGGAGAAGCAGTCCGGGCTTAGGCACCCATGCTTTAACAAAAAGTGTTATTTTGTGACCCCAGTGTATATACATGTTTTTACTTACCTTAGGCATCTGGAGATCATGTAAGCGATTTCGAAACTATATAATATAACATTTTAACTTTCTGCACAATATGATCTTTATCGTGCAGCACGTTGAGATTCAAGGTGTTAATAGATTTGGAATGATCGCTGAGATTGTTATCTAGATATTTGTGTTATTTGGTTCAGAAGTAATTCTAGAAGCCCTCAGTACGGCCTGTAAAATCCCCAAGTCTGGCGTTGGCCAATAGGCATGCGAGTAACAAATACGCATAGTTCAATATAAATGAATGTAAGTTTGTAATGACAACATACATATCCAGCTCCAGAAGATAAGGTGCATAGGCGCAAATTGCACAATGTGCGCCTGAATGAGCCACTCTACTGCGTACTGACATGTTCTCTTGGAGTAGTTTTCATAATTTGCGTGCTAGGAATATGACCAAATAAGCACGCGATCGCTCATATGACGTACGGTGACGATCTGAACTGATGTCAAGCGCTTAGAGCTATTCTTTGCTTACCATTGCGCACGCGGACCGGGGCCATGCTTGTACACTGGATATCCCAGCGGGCTTACTAGCTTAACCGTTTTATAGTTTGCAAGCCCTTTAGTTAGCCGGTCACTTAAAACACGTGACGTTCTGTGCATGGTACCCGCGTCTATTTCCATAGTGAGCCGTTCAGTGCTCGTTCCGCCGACCAGTTCAAACCGCAACCGAGGCACTAATCTCATTCCAGTGGCCAATAATAGTTAAAATCCATTCATTGGCTGATTCGTTGGGATTCGGTGGAGCGCGCCCTACTTCTGGCAGGCGGCGGCCGCGAAACGATTCCATTGAATGAGGCCATTGAGCGGTATCGGACAGGCAGCGCGCGAGAGCATAACACTTTCAATTTGTGACCGCCGGCCGTGGCCGACCGTCAATTGCCACGACGGCGCGGGGTGGCTTCAATAGACACGCTGCAGACGAAATGGACCAATTGTCACGGAGGCGGTGTCGGCTTGAGTATTCGACGCAAGTGTTATGCTGATCAACAGCCTGTCAGTCCTGCACTGTGGCGCCTGTATTTTTCATGCCGCACAAGTGGATCTCTTATTGCTGGAGCTATGGCACTGAGCAAGAGGTGCGGGGCATATGGCGTTGCCCCGACTTTGCGTTGTTTGTACTTTTGCCGGGCAATCGTCGCATAAACCCATGCTTTGACCTATGCCCAGCTAACAGCTGGCTGACAGTACTTCACTTAAAAGGAAACGTTTCACATTCGAAGATATTGAAGCAAGCATCACATGGAATGAAACAAGCTCAGTTATCAATGTTATTCTATTTTTAAGTAGAAAAGAGTACATGATCTAGGTGACAATTTTTCTGCTTAGTAAAGATGCTGTTCGATGCGCCGTTTTTTATAATTATGCCATCGTACCTTGCGCAATATTGACTGAGAGCCAATTGACAGCCGTTATATCTGGAAATCGTGGTTACGAACGCCAGCTATGAACTATTCAACCGTCATATTTGTTTGAGTCTTGATCGCAGCATGGGTTATGAAATGATAGGATTTTAATGGCATTATTATGGCGTCATGAATGCAAAGATGACCTTGAAATACTTGCCCACAATTACTCTCGCACATCTTTGCAGCCTCCTAATTAGGGAACTAAAGTGTTTCAAGTCCTAGGAAGGGCATGGCCGTTAGCTGCATCAAAAGGTCTTGATTATGGCTGTTGCATTTCAAAACCTCATACAAATGTTCAAGCTTTCAAAACCCCAAACTTTTTTTTAAGATCACAATTATTGCGCAGCAATTACTGCGCCCTTTTCGGAAGAATTTCCCCCAGAAAATAGTTCGGTTGTTTACTTATTCCGATATGCACCTCAGAAAATTAAGCGTTACCAGCAAAAACAAAGTTTGATGCTGCTGTTGCCTGCCGCGACATGACGTCATCTGCAGCTTGGTGTTGCCGCCTGCCGCGACGTGACGTTCTCTGCAACTCGATGCCCCTGCCGTCTGCCGCGACGTGACGTTCTCTGCAACTCGATGCCCCTGCCGTCTGCCGCGACGTGACGTTCTCTGCAACTCGATGCCGCTGCCGTCTGCCGCGACGTGACGTTCTCTGCAACTCGATGCCGCTGCCGTCTGCCGCGACGTGACGTTCTCTGCAACTCGATGCCGCTGCCGCCTGCCGCGACGTGACGTTCTCTGCAACTCGATGCCCCTGCCGTCTGCCGCGACGTGACGTTCTCTGCAACTCGATGCCCCTGCCGTCTGCCGCGACGTGACGTTCTCTGCAACTCGATGCCCCTGCCGCCTGCCGCGATGATGGCCGCCTGTGGCTCCGCAGTGGCTCCATCAGTGTCAGCACCAGGCGGCCCGGGTCATGACAGGTCATTAGCTCCGAGGACAGTCCGCCCACCGGCGCGCCCCAACGATAGATGGAGGTACCCCTCCGACACCAAACCTGTTCAAAACCCACAGCGACTCAGGCCGCGCATAGTGCCACGTTCGGGACAATATCGCGCGCATGGTGACAAGTGAAGCGTGATTGTGGTCACGAATGGTAACCGTCTTCCCGTCTGCACCATCACTGGCGAGGAATGCCGCAGGGGATGTTAACATGTCCGTCTCCTCAGCGCCTCATCGCGGTTCCCCAGTTAAAGCCAAATGGCGCCGCCAGGCCGGGTCAACAGAACTTCTCAGGCGTTTCAACAATGGGAACACATTGAATGCAGCAAATCGGAAACATGAGGACGTGCAGACATCCAAGCATCAATGCGTGTAACATACTCTTTCACTGCGTATGGCGATGTTCAGCACACATCGAGAGACCACCGCAGCGAGCGGCAGCCTTCGTGAAATCGGTTTAGTTTTCCGGTAAAGATTGCTCGCCAAGGAATTCATCTGCACGTGTGGGTGCACCCTGTAGTAGCATGGAGCACCAGCACTGTTCGCTGAAACAGTTTTCTGATCTTATAACGCTGAAACATTTCCTGATTACCTTGGACGGAGTTTGCTGGAGTTGGCCGGAATTTGCGCTGCAATGGTAACGTATCCCATGTACGAAACGCCATTAACATACCCCAGGCACGAAGTTCTAAAGATAAAGATTGTGGCCGAGTTGGGCGTCGGGTAGGTATGCGAGTGTGTGTGATCGAAAAAGGAAATTGACATCACCAGAAAAGGAAATGCATTTCTCAGCCGGTGGAAGAGGATTGCTGCCTTTCAAAGCTTTTTTCGCTCACCGCGCGGAAGAAATGGTCCGACCTGATGCACCCTTTCTTTAAGCCACACTCTGAAAACCCCACAACGCGCAACTGCCAGCCCACCCGTCCACCAGCGGCCGAATCAAATCTGCCGGTACAACAGAGCAGCATAAGTACGCGACCGCCGCTGGGTGCGCGGGCACGCCGGCATCCTCGAGCCGTTTGGGTCACCGGCGCGACGTCCCCCCGGTCAGGCCGCCGTCCCGCCTGGCCGCCTTATCTCGGCAGCCTCAGTCGTCCATTGTTCGCCAGCACGCCACTGCCGCCGCTGGCAACAGCGACCGGAGGTCGAAGGGCGCCGGCTCCGATTGCAGCGCAGTCGGACTCTCCTTTCCGGAACTCCGTATTTCGCGCTGCCGTCTTGCGGAGTGTTGGCCGCCGGCGAGCCCGCTGAGCAGTGGCCGGCTGGGAGACAAAGCCCCGGCCCACTGGCGTTCGTGTTTTTCCAGGGTCGAACGTCGAGCGGACGGTCGTATTTTGTTTCGATATCTTGGCTGGATTAATTGAAACTGTTTGTGGCAAAAGAAGCCGTAAATCTTGGTCCCATTCGACGAGAAGATTTATGGGGCACACATCTAGCCGCCGCTGGAGATAGATAGCTCTCGGTTTCGTTTCGGCCCTGGAAAACATTGATATTCAACAGCGGTAGCCTTGGAAAAATACGGAAAGTCTGGACAAATGTTTTCTTTCGTCACATGGACGGCCTCCCACGGACTGTGAGGGCCTGCGATAGGCTAGATACCCGAGACAGACATTGCTTTCGCTAATGTTAGCGACGGAGAGCCCTGCAAAAAGGATTTCTGTGAGAAAAACGTGGCGACGTGCTTTCCATTGCAGAATGCCAGCACAGTGGTCCTGATTTACTTCGGGTGGCTGACTTAAATGAGTCGATATCCCGGCTATCGAAGAAATCGAGATTTTGGATTGCACAAACCTAGCCGTTTACTCGAGATTCGATACGGATATGTTAGGATTAAGCTCGGATGGAAAACAGAACGCTATTTTTATGGCAAGCCACGCGTCTTCGACAGCAATTTGCTTTTTAACTGACCACCAAGAATATCTTTTGAAAAGATAATCTGCACTGCACCACTACATTTACGCGGTCCGGTACTACCATGACACTTAGTGGGATTGTAGGTACGCTATCTCGAACCATAAAATGAACATACGGATCGTGATGCCTATTCCCATCCCATCCAGCTGATGAGCCTGAATGAATCATGTTGATATTTTAATCTTCACATGTTGCTCGTTGAACATTTCGCTCAGGCGAGGGCCTCCACGCTCGACTGACCCGGCCAAGGGGTACGTTGCATGCGCGATGTAATCTCCAGATGGTCAAGCTGCACTGGCTCCCTGCTGAACACGCGGCGTCCTGCGACCAGCCAGCTGAGCTCTCGCCTGACCTGACCCGGTCACGTGTGTGTCGGCAGGCGCCGGCTCGCTGCAGATGCAGAACCACGTGATCCCATCACACCTGCTCCTGGGTCAGACGGCCGACCTCGTCTGCCGGTATCGGCTCGAGAACGAGACTCTCTACTCGGTCAAGTGGTACAAGGACAACGAGGAGTTCTACAACTTTATAGCCACGCCCAAGATCGCCAAGCGGATGTACCCGCTGCCCGGCATCCGAGTCGATGTGAGTGGGTGCGCTTCGGGCATACCGAACCGGGCCGATTCACCGCCGGCCGCCGGCGCCCCCCCCCCCCCCTCCCCAACCCCGGGGGCGCCGTCGCCGCCGCCCGGCCAAACGCTTTGTATTCATATCTGTCCACCGGGAGGCGACGGAAAATCGATACAGCCACAGGACGGCCTCCAAATGCAAAGAGAAAATGATGAAGCAGGCCTGACAGTATAAAATTTGCCGAGGTCGCGTCACCTATGTCGTTTGGATGCATTTTACTTGGTTACATCGTTGTGAAAAATTGAAAGGTGATTTCGCGCAGAATTTACCGCAAAAACGCAGGAGTATATGTAGCCGCAAGCAATCGTTTTTGTTTCTTTTTTAATAGCGGTGTTTAACTTCACAATGGGTTTTGCAGCGGGACAGCCAAGATTCGCAACAAAAAGGGATGCTCGCGATCATAAAGAGGTGCTCGCGATCATAAAGAGGTGCTCGCGATCATATCCCATGAAAGCTTAAGATACAGTACTTGCTGAACTTGAAATCATTTAGCTTAAAGTGCATTGCAAATATGACATCACTGGCGATAACGACACACCGAGCGGAGAGAGCTCCAATTGGCAGGTCGGCGCCGTCGCAAAGGCCAGCCCGTTCACTCGTCTGAACGTAATTGGCTTGAATGCAACGGCTCGTGCATTATCAGGGAATGGATCTTCTCGTCTACAAAAGTTGAATAGCTTCAGCACTTCTTCACGTCAACGAGTGTCAACAACATTCTCAGTGGATTATGTACATATATATATATATATATATATATATATATATATATATATATATATATATACACGCCCCCCTTTCCCCCTTCCTTTTATTTTTTATTGAAAAACATGGTATGTTTGCCTCGCAGGGTGAAACGGCCCTTCAATTTCCGAAAAGCCTTGCCACCTTGGCCTCATGTCTTGTTGTCGCACACTACCTTCACTATTCTAAACGTTAATCTACTACTACCTGTCGATTCCCTGTGTCTGTGGCATTGAAGATTAACACCTTTGCTGGGTATCATTCATGTCCATCTTTTACAACCTGATATGAAGTGTTTTTAACGCATTAAGAACACGATACTGGATTCAAATGCATCTTATGTACATTTCGGCCACCCACCTATCTCACCAAAGCAGGATTTCGTCATGCACCTGCCTCATCAATTTATAAATAATTTGTAAATTAGATCCGTCAGTTCGCAAACTGGTTACCAAAACATATTCTCCCTCGCAGTGTCAGCTAAATGTCGTTTTTGTGAGCCTTAAAACCACACGCACCAAACGCGGCACCGCGTCTGAGCCATGTCTCCATTGCTGCCAAATCGTGATATAGTATCCCACGTTTGTCAGGGAGGAAGCAATTGCCGTGAGATATAACATGGGATGCTCAGCTGCTGATGCTGCCCCCTAAAAAAGCTTCCTGTCATCACCTAATGCGACCTCAACAGATGGTGCATATCCGAGTGAACGGTCCCGCCTAACGGACCGTAACACCGGGAGATTTCCCCACCAGCTAGATCGAGCGAGAGCCGTTTAATTGTCGCGGCAGGACAGATGAGGCGCGTCTTGATGGTGTTGCTGGACGGCTAGCCCGGGCCTGATACGAGGTGGCTATAAAAACGTGTCTTGGAAAGCTTAATTACGAATGAAGGCGATACGCTATGTCTAACGCTAATCGGCGTAATCGTTCTCGCTTCCCAGTTGCTCGGAATCTCTTATTGATACACCATTTCGCTGGGGAAACGTATCACTCACAAGTATGCGACACAACAGTTATATAACGCCACAATACTTGGAACGTCTCAGGGCAGGGCTCGCTTATAGTCGTGCGCATACGGATTTGGACAGTCCTGTACGGGTCTACTGGCCTGTCTGACATTTATCATACCATGACAGGGCAGACATTTCCCCGTCTCACATGTCTTTGAGTTTTTATACTAACTTTGGACGCTCAGGTAAATCCACCAATTGCTTTTCTACACCCCTTCCACCAACCCCATCAGTGGTTTGTTGGAATTTACACATTTCGCTTTAAAGCTATTTCAGATATGTCTACATGTTGTTCAGAGTGATGGAGCTAATCAAACTGTTTTTTTATAGAGATACCTGAAGCCCATCCCGATAGCTCATTTGGTTAAATCGCCTGCCCTCCGATCCACCCACCCGTGGCGGGATGAGTCCGAGTTGCTTAACATGCGCTCGGGTGGCCGGTTGGATTCCCTTCGCTCGGGTGGGGGTCAATTTGACCCTCTGAGATTTCAGGAACTAAGAAAGCCAAAGACACAAAACTCACGAGGTGTATTTGTGTGTACGTGAACTCACAGGTCAAAGTCTCAGTCCCCCATGTCATGACCTTCGGGCCCAATAAGGTCAAACAAGGTCAAACTCAAAGTTGGTCTCTTAAGTGTAATCAGAACCTAGATACCTGTTCTAAGTAAAAGGTCACATGCTCATTCAAGTTCAGTGGCTTTGTTTGACCTTTATAAGGTCATGGTGATAAAAATTATGGAAAGCTGCTTTGAGTTTTGCATTTGAATACGCGACAAAGATTACGTTAGGCAGTAGTTCTTAAAAGCAATATGTTGGCCAGGGTCATTTTAGATCAGTGACCTATTCTTACCTATATGTTGCATATTTTGTTTGAATGTAGTCATATTGAGCAGTGTGCCGTTGGTTTTAACACAGTATTGCAGAGTCTTGATTCTAGTTAGACTGTACCGCGCATGGCTAAGCTGTGGGCCTGAAAAATGTGACCTTAAATCGTGACTCTATGGCCTAGTCATGAAATGTGTGTCGTTGCTGCTATATTCTACACTATACATTGGACTCCGCGCTCCATCCCCGGCTCGAACAGCACGACGCCTGATTACTGGCGCTCTTCTGAGAAGAGGAGCGCTGAACTTTCTACCGGCTTTGTAGCTAATCTGGCTGCCGATATCTAACGAAAACCTTCAACACGGCTCAGAGCCACCAGTTTACGGCCCACGCTCGATTGAGTGATCAGCCGCGTGCCAATGCGGGCGGTCGCACCACTACGATTTTTCAGGCTGTCTTTGACGAAATTGTTTGCCCTCCGTGTCGCTGATGCTCTGATTTCAGGGATATTGGCCGAGACGTTTTGAGATGTTTCCGGATGTTGGCTCAGGCACGTGTCTGGATAAGCTCCGAAGCGTGGAATTTGCGTACCGTTTCCATGTTACGGAAATGGCGCCTGTTACTTGTCTTTGCTTTGGAAACGCGCGGTGTGCTAGCGACATCATGGTGATATTACACCATCTAAACTCATCTCAAGTAAGACTTTTCCGTAAACTAGTGTCATAAGAAATGGCATTTCCTCCTGACACCATGATGACACTGAAGAGCTAATCTATTTGACGGGCAAAAAAGCAAGGTTGCTCCCTCCGAAATTCGTCATATCTTGCTCTCAGATGTAACGTCTCGACGGACTGAGGACTACAGCTGTCAGTGTATCCACCTGTCGGCTTTAGACACATGAACCCACACAGAGGAGGAAGCAACGCTACCAGTTCGTCCACGCATTGATTGGCGCCGCATGACCTCTCTGGTCGGAGGACCGGTCCACCAGCGTGTCCACCTGCTGACCGCCTATGCGTGCTCCCGACAGATGGCGGGCTCCAGCCGGCAGCGCGTCCGCCTGCTCCAGGTGGACTTCGCCACGTCGGGCAAGTACGGCTGCGAGGTCTCGGTGGACGCGCCGTCGTTCGACACGGTCATCGTCACCGGCCACATCCTCGTTGTTGGTGCGTGAAGTCGGAGTTGGTGTCGCCGCACGCAGTCGTGGGCATGCGTCTGTACGAGCTTTGTGTACAGAGTTGCATATGTTGGCCACAAGTGTACAAACCTTCTCTGCGAGGGTCTTCGCTCTCGCCCCCTTGGTATTTACTGAAGCTGCACCCAAAAACGCCGAGGCTAATGTTCCGCAATCTGGGGAATTTTCTAGAAATGATCTTTGCGTAGCCTGACTTAAATTAGGTTTTCGTTTGTCACTTTGTAGGAGCTTCAGGAACGGTTTTTAGAGACATCGGCAGGAACCATGGGCTTTCCATTGCATATGCACTTTATACAATTATTTAAATATGTCGGGGGTTGTATGATCATCGTGAGTTATGATGCACACATATGCACTTTATACAATTATTTAAATATGTCGGGGGTTGTTTGATCATCGTGAGTTATGATGCATTCCGTTGCGTCAGACCTGATCACATTTAGATGATGTGTGATGCTCGTGACCTTCCAAGAGAGATTCAGGAGCAATGATGTGAGGATCGAGTGTTTAGCTGTCAGCGTGAGTTAGGCTTCAGACCGCTTCACACTGGCGACTTCTCGTTGCTTAGCTTTGGGATGCGATATGACGTTGAACGAGGCTATGAAGTAGCAAACCGTTACAAACAATGGGATTCCGCCAAGCGCCCCACTCTGCTGCCTACGTGCGAGACGGGACGGAGCGCCGCCTCATGGCGGATGAAAACTTGAGCTTCAGTCAATGATTTGCGCTCCTCGCCGGGAATTACTTTGAAACACGCCATCGTTTGATATTCTAACTCCATATGATTTGTGGCCGGCAGGTTTTTACATCAATATGAGCGTGGTTTTGGTTCCTATGCCACTTGGAATTTCCATTCTGTTTCGAATCGCATTACAGCGTAGCGCAGCAAAAAGTGGCTAGAGGAGAGCGGTACTTGAGGCCACCACATAATTTCGTGACTGAACACCGGCATGCACAGCCCATTTGAGCCGCACTTTGATGTGCTTTCCGCGCAGAAGGTGTTCGAAGGCTTTACTTAATATGTCATCAGCAGCAAGATTAAACCCAAGATATTCAAAATATAATTTTATCGTCAATGATAATCCTTAAGCTTTGCAAGGGAGTTCATAGGAACAGCTATTTCTGCCTGCACTCCGATTTTACTGGCCGATCCAGGGCCCAGCCTTTTGGCACACTTTTCGCAGGCGGGGATTCTTTAACAGGATCAGGTATAAGATTGCACCGCTTTTGAAATCACCTGAGATGCTCCGTGGTAACCAGGTGACATTTGAGAGGAGAAATAGACCCCATGCAGCTCGACAGACCGCGATTATGCAGAGGATCACGTGGATGTAAAGTTCTTTGAGGTCCTAATAAGGCCCTGAACAGACCGTGCGCCCTGAAAACTCGGAGATCATTTCAGAAAACAGAGGGCTCTTTAGTGGCGCGAGGGTGGTCCCTCAGTAGTCTCACAAGCTCCTGAGCACTTGTAACCTTCCCTTCCCCGTACAGGCGTCCGAAAAGGTCGTTCAGTTAAAGATATGTGTTCTGGTAACCAGTTGGGTCGCTAAGGTGGTCACAAGGCCATCAGCAACCAAACGAAAATCCTTGATGGCCAGATGGGCACACAAGTGATCAAAAATTCCTCTTCGTGACCGGGGGTCCTGGGCGACCAGTTAAGTACCTTAAGCTGTCAGAAAGGGGCCGCACCCACAAAAGGCTCGTCAGTAGCCAGAGGGGCCATCAGCGGCCAGAAGGGCACTGATGAAGTAAAACGGCTCGTGAGCGACCAGAGGGACCTGAGTACACAGAAGGTCGAGAGGCCAGTGCGGCCCGTGAACGGATGTTACCATTGGGGTTTTACGTCGCACGGAGCTTCTGAGGCCGTGTGGCGTCACCTGCTTACATGACAGTCACTCTGGCAAATAGGGCTGGCACCGAGGAGAATCAAGCCCTCATGTATCCATGGTTTCCCGGCGCGCATCTTAACCGCCACGCGAAAACCCTGCAGAGGGCCCGGGTAGTGCGGAGATATTTGTGTGCTGAAGAGACTTGCAAGTGGGAAACAGGCCGTGAGCAGCTTAAGTCCCTTAAGCGGTTCAAATGTCAACATTCGCCAGTTGAGACTCACTTATCCGTCACAGGGGCTTCTGGATGGCCGAATGAGACCCAGGGAGTAGGCAGGGGACGGGCTCCACCCACTCAGCACGAACATTTTTCATCACACTTCACGCAGCAAAAAAAAAAAGAAAAAAAATCAGCCCTGCGTGCACCTCCACAAAACCCCAGGTTTTGCGTCTTACAAAGAGAGGGAAATATGGCACCCCACCCCCACCGCCCATACCTCACAGAATCTCTATATAATTTTATTATGTTGCATTTCATTGTATTACGTTGTCAAGCCGGTGCAGCCATGCATTTTTGTGGTCCCGTATATCCTGTCGCGATAACATGGATATATAGGAAAATCAAAGGACTGATATGACTAGGGAAATGAAAGGGATGCTAGGAATAGAGGTGGTAAGGCATGATCAAGTATACGGATGTACCAGAAGAAGCTGGTAAGGCGTCAAAGTCGACTGGTCTTTAGGATTCACAAAGATTTGGGTTACGTGGTTAGACAAATGACGCGATCAAAGACACGATAAACGTGATTAACTTGCTGGGATGCACGGGCATACCTGGGTAATGGATACGATAGTATGGATTAATATGCACATGATAAGGTATTCGCAGCTAAACATTTCACGTTCACACCTAAAGATTAGATGATTGAGAATACAGAGTGCTGTTTTATGAAGCGCAAGGAATTGTGCACTCCTATGCCGCGTTAAACCATTTTTCAGTGGAAAATTTTGAGTTGCGCCCCACCTCCGTTCTGAAACCCTGTGTACGTCCTGCTCTTTGATGTAGGTCTCAGTGAGATGTAAGTCTAAATTGTTTTTTCACAGTGGCCTTTACTTTGCGCTTGGTTGATGCCAACGTACGTCTGGTGAGTAACGGGCAACAGGTATCGAAAATACAGCAAATGATAATGTGGCTTGACGCAGCGTTGCGGGAAACAGTGGTAGAGTGGTCACTCGTTAATATGTCATTGAACGGATAGCGGTGTATTCCATCTATCCATTTGAGTGGTTGGTGGATCCATGCAGTTTCATGTGGCGTAGGCTTTCTGTCGTATTGATGCTGCAGTTGATTTTCAACGGCGTTTATTAGAAACGCACGAGACATCGTACAAAATTCCCCAATTATCTTGCCTGAAATGTGCAAAAATCAGTCGGGTTTCAGTAGCAGACGCTGATGGTGCGACCGTGTAAGTCGTTGCAATCATGTAACGTCGCGGATAAACGCTCGCTCGAAAAACTATTTTCATCATCGTTCATCACTAAATTTGGGTTGAAAAGTTCTACTGGTTTGTATATTCTGGCTTTCAATCTATCCGTCTCTTCACAACCAGCAGATTGGAATCGATCAGCACGTGGGAGCCGATGTGCTTTGCTGCTCTGGAAAGTTTGGTGCGGAGCCGACCGTCGTCATCGACCTATGGGACAAGTTTGCTCTCGCCGCACCACGCGCGGAGGTCTCATCTGGACCGAAATGTGGCATAGATATTCATCTCGCCGCGCATATTCAGACCTGTGGGGTTTTGGGTTCTACCACTGACAGTTCTGCCCTCTTTGCATCCCAGTTTCGTTGTCATTGTCTTGCTGCCCTCCGCTCGTTTTCTTGGTTGATGCGAGTGCAATAGCATTTCAGTTCGTTTCATGCAGCGCGCGCATGATAGCAGGTTCCCATCAGATCCAGCACGATTCAGTCATCTCCACTGTGTTCGTCGGATCACTTCGTCAAGTCTGCGCACCTCGAGCCGAGCGGCCAGTCCAGTCAGTCCAAGGTGGCCTTTCCCAACCAACTTTCGTCAGCAGCAATTCTACTGAGTCTCATCTGATGAAGCTAATGATAAGTGATGACGGGGCAAACGACGACATGACTCAGCTTTAGGGCAGATAATGATATTTTCTGGCACATTAAATCGATCGTAGTCTCTCTGAGGCGAGCGCCGGCATTGCGCCTGACCGACTTCGCCACGGAAGCCGGACTCACCAGCCGTCTAATTCGTGTGGCATGTCTGTCAGGGTTCCGACAACGCCCTCGCATACGCGATCGAAGCCCCCCCCCCCCCCCCTTCCCCGCTCCGCTGGCCGGGGGGACGCTGAATGTGAAATGTTAATGCCTTGTCAGACTCTGCATTTTTAACGGCGACAGAATGACGCTTAAGACGGGCCAGACTAAGTCGTTTGCAGCGATTTCAGACGTGACCCAGTTGAGCGCCAGAGGCCTTGTGCGGTACACAGGAACGGTGCGAGGAGAGCTGCGCCGCACCGAACTCAGCAAAGCACAAAAGCTGGAAGCTGGGCAGCAAGGAACACTGCAACGCTGTCAGTAAATTCAAACTCAGGACTGTCATAGCAAAGTGCAAATGCACATCCTGGTGCCGCTGCAGCGACAGAGAAAGTTTATTCGGGGACATTTCTAGGGAACTGCGCCTACGATAAAGCAGGCTTGAGAATTTCACCCGTGAACGTTTTTTGTCGGCCAGGCGTGTGATAAAACAGGTCGGGTAAAACATGCTCTTAACTTTCCACTAGCAGACCTGTGCAGATAGCCGCCGAGGTCACGACCCGAAGCAGATAATAACGGATAAAGACAAATGCGTTTTCCACCGTAGGCTTGATATCCGAGTGCCATCGAGCTCTTTGCGCGATATTCGGAACTTAGGTTCCACTAAGATTCGGAGCTATGATGACCCCTCACCACGTCCTTGACTCGCGCCCGGTCGGGCTCTGAGACAATCACGCCCGGCCGGGAGGGGCAAGTCGATTTCCCCTGAGATCTCCAACTTCCAGACGCGGTATGAGAAAAACAAAGATGCCGTTTTGAATGTCTCGTCAAGAAATGGGGATGCACATTACATTTTTGACCTTAGATTAAATTTGAGGTCACCAGTGGTTAAGCCAGGTAAAAAAGTGTCGTTCCGATAGATGCAGCTAAAACTCATGTTAACGCGACAACACGAATATTGAGGGTACGGTAATAAGCGCTAAGACGGTGTGGAGTTAGTTCTGACTATTTTGTTTTCCCAAATGGGTCGGATGAGATCACGTGGCGATGGCCGCCGCGATGGTGGCAGTCATTACGTTGATGTTCTTCTTTACATTCAACTGAGGGCTGCGGGTGTACGGGGTTGGCCGTAAGGTAAGGCTGGTCAGCTGATATGAATCGCGATTAATTCATGTTGACCTTCTTTAAACTGAGATGAGGCACGAGCATTGTGTCGTGTCAATCGGCTGCACCAGGCTCTATCACAATGCAACCGCTCTGCGTTGTTTTGGCAGCGGCTATAGGCAGCTAGGATTCCTATACCCTGCAATTAATGACCGTATTCCGAATGCACGTGCACCGAATTCGGCGTTCGAAATAACAAGGTGCATGCGCTGAAATGCTGCTGCGATGCCGCTGATACACCAGACACGCTCAGGGTATCATATTTTGCCGTCTCACATTAATCAAAGGGATCTTCAAGTGTGTACTGCTCTATGCCGTCAGCGGTCTCCTGTACGCATGAGACCGCAGCAACCAAGATAATGGCCATGTCACTAGTGCGCAGTTATTCTCCACATATAAGCCAGTGCATTCGCCCTTTCCTGTCCGCTGATTGGATCATTTTTTAGCACTGCATTTTTCACGCACAGCCATCGACGTGCGATCGATAAACAGGAATAGCCAAAAACTGCTGCAAGACCCAAACGCACATTTAAGCACCAGAATTAACCATATATAGTTGTAAAACTCCCCTTAGGCGTGTATTTGGAAAATCGAAAACACTAGACACACATCCTTTAACAGGTACCGAAAACTTGCTGCTGCTGCCTGCCAGAGTTGGTTTTTTACCCGTGTCCGAAAACGGTATGGGATGATCCTCCCCGGCTGGGCGCGGTATAACAGGCAGCTTAATTAGTATGAATGAATTTCATTAGCATGTTTATATAAGACGACTTTAGAATAACCGTGATCTATAACAGCGTCGCAGCGTTTGCCAGGAAAGGTCGTTTTGCAATCATGTCTACCTTTCCGTCAGTATTTCCGAAACCTTCAGTGGGTCGTAGTACATCTCCGTTTGGCTGGATTTTCACCTGTTTTACACCCTACTGGCAGGCAGGGTGTAAATATGTGAAAATCGAGGCTCCGGCAAACATTCTTGGTACTCTGTGCGCGGCACGGTTTTGTTCAGTGGCCCTGATGGTGTGAAGTGACTATCTGTTAAACCTAAGTGCTGCTCTGGCCTTTAGAATGGTCATTCGTTTGAATGCTGCATCATGTCAAATATCAAACTTTGCGCCAACTTGGTTACTTGACTATTAAATAATAAACTAAAATGGCTGGTATGCAGCACTTGTGGCGCAGAAGCATTCATTGTCAGGAACACATCAAACTTAGTTTTGAAGATGTTCCAAGGCGGTGTTGGTGCAACCTTTACAGCCTGTAATATCATTGTCGTGCGTGAAGTTGCACGTGCGAAATCATCCGAGGTAAAGGCACAGGGTAAACCCAAGTGGCCTCATAGCACCGCTTGAAATCAAATGTTGGCGTCCTTTGACCCAGACCAGATTGCCCTGCAGGCATCTAAACAGACAACAAGATAGCGCCGAGATGCCAAAATCATTATTCGGCCGGGTGATGGCACCAACCTGTACTGCCTGTTCCTCACGCCTGTTGCGCCGCGACCGGCGGGGAGCCGCCGCCGCTGGTGGCTAACATCGCCTGCAGCTGGGCAGCTGCTCAGCTCATCGACCGGTGTCGTGCGCGTGCCTCAGCCGCTCCGGAGAGCCCGCCGCAGATCGAGGGCGGCAAGGACCTGTACCGGCTGGGTGACGAGTTGTCCGTCAACTGCACGTCGCGGCGCTCCAAGCCGGCGGCGCTCCTCAACTGGCACATCAACGGCCAGCAGGTGGGTCGCCCGGGGTGAGGCGCCCGGGGCGAGGTCGCCCGCGGTGGCGGCGAGCGGCGTCCGGCCGCGGCAGCGTGCGGCGTGACAACCTCGTTTCACCGGGCCGTGACGTGCTGTCGTGTCTCTCCAGCGGGCAAGGGCATCATGGCAGTAAACTCACCCGGCCGGCCGGCCAGATCGCATGCACCGCGCCGCCCCCGGCCCGGTCTTCGTGACGGCGCGGGCGTGTTAGCACAGCGGCTACACTACTTAGACGGCCAGATTGCAAAACTACTTAAAATGACCCCTAATGGCACGAACTACCGTCAAAGATGATGCGACGCATGTCCCGACGCTCCTAGAGGCGTGTTTTTATCGCGGGTGATTGGGAACAAGACACCGCTAGTGCCCGCTACGAAATGCATGCCAGCACCCCCGACCTTGTTCATCTGTTGAGGAAAGGTCAGGACGAGCGCAGGCCGTCAGCCAGCTCAGCGTCGCCCGTGTTCTCATTACAAAGAAGCGGGTCATACAATTCTCGACGGGCCCGTGACCTCTCCCATTTCCGTAGATTACACATTCAAACGACGCTCGGTCAGGCGCCCGGCAGCTGCAGCTGGTGTGAGGGCTCCCACGCCCCAGCGGGGCGACTCCTCACAGACTGGCCGCCGAGGGCTTATTCTGCTCGGAGGGGAGCGGCACGGCGCTGCTGGGGCCGCCGGGACATGCTGACGGTCGAGGAGGCTATCCGCGGAGGGTTTGTGCGTACCTTGCAGCTTTTCCGTCGTGGCAAAACGCTGTGCTGTGTTGTAGACGCCTACTTTAGGATCCGCCTAATTTCGAAGCCAACTGGAAGTGTGCCAGTCTCGCACAAATCGAGCCGGGGTTATTAGGCCCGTGATCTGTTTGATGTCGATACCCAGTGTAGAATACGCCGGTTCGTGAGCGCGTCACCGCTGCGAACTGCTGGGACATTCGTCGACACGCGTCCGCAGGCACCATACTACACCGTGATTAAAGAAATTCGACCGCATCGAATGTCAGGGTGCTAACAGTCCAGACAACGTAACGGCGCGGGTCCGGTGTCGCACACTATTTACCGGGCGACTCCACCGGATGCCTCGCCACACTGACTGACCAAGCGCATGCATTTAACGTTTTTGCGCCAACAGATCGGTCGCATTCGTCAGGTGCCGAGCGCCAACTGACTGGATGCTCGCGCATGACGCAGGTGTTACGTTTGACGCCTGATGCGTGCGATGATAGTACGAGTCAGACGCTTCAGCTTCAGACAGCACACGCTGATGTGTCGCATTTGGCAGGCGTTACCAATCGACAAACATCTCTATGATGTGACACGCATTAACCGGACGACCACTCGCCGGCACTTGCAGCGTCTAGTGGACCGTAGAGTCTCCTTTGGCGTTACACACAAAGCTGCTGCTTCCAAAACGCCCCACCTCCTTGCGGTGTCATCCGAGTGTCGGCTCATCCAGCTCATCATTCTTCTCTGGCACGGCGCCCGGCTCATGTCAGCCGCTTATGTCGATGGTTGGTACCTGATGTGCTCCTACACGCCGCACCACCCTGATATGCACCCGCCGATATGTCCACAGGCACGATGCCACCCCGTGGAGCCCGCTGTGTCCTCAGGCACCATCCCACTTGCTGATTTGGTACCTGGTGTGACCTTAAGCGCCACACTGTTAGCTGGCGCGGACCCTCTGTGTCTTCAGGCGCACGAGTACCCTGACCTGTTGCTTCCACCGGTGATGTACCGCTCGCCGTTTCAGTGCCCGGTATGTCCTCAGGCGCCGTATCCCCCGCTGGTGCAGTACCCGGTATGTCCTCAGGCGCAGTACCCCTCGCTGGTGCGGTTCCCGGTACGTCCTCCGGCGTTGTACCCTTCGCTGGTGTAACACCCGGTATGCCCTCAGGCGCCGTACCGCTCGCTGGTGCAATACCCGGTGTATCCTCAGGTCCCGTACCGCTCGCTGGTGCAATACCCGGTGTGTCCTCAGGCGCCGTACCGCTCGCTGGTGCAGCATCCGGTGTGTCCTCAGGTCCCGTACCGCTCGATGGTGCAGTACCCGGTGTGTCCTCAGGCGCCGTACCGCTCGATGGTGCAGTACCCGGTGCGGACGGACGCGGACGGGCGGGAGACGCGCCGGCTGGGGCTGGTGCTGGCGATGCAGCCGCATCTGTTCGCCGACGGCCACCTGGTGCTGCGCTGCTCGGCTGCAATCGCCGCCGTGTACCAGCAGCAGACGGAGCTCAGCGTACGCCAGCCGGCGAAGCGGCCGCCGTCGCCGGCCAAGACACTCGAGATCAAGGAGCAGAACAGTAAGGACGCGGCCGCGCGCGGGGCGAGTGGAGGGGTAGGGCAGTCGAGACATGCGCTGTGATTGTCGTGCGAGGGTTCACTCATGGTGCATGAAGGACCTCACATTGCATGGGGGGGGGGGGAGAAACTGATTATCACTGAAAACCTAGTTGAACTCAACGGTGCGCGTGTAATTTCTTGCGTGTCGTCAAATAGCATCATGTATCCTCTATCTTCTTAGTGTCACGTGACTACATGAAATTTGCAGCGGGTATTAAGTCACGCTCACGCTCATATAACATGCCATGCATTTCATAAGAGAGGAAAGAGGCACGAAGGTCCCAGGGGCTACCATATGCGAAGCTCGGGAATTGCCTGGTGGGGGAAAACAAAACACATCTCCGCGGATGGCCAGAATTGAACTTCGCTGGTAAGGGCTGAAGGACACAGGACACATGCACGCGCCGACGACCTGTGGCAGGGTAGTGCCGAGGCACAGTGAAGCAGAAGGCTTGCGGTGATGAGCGGAGGGGTTGGTTGATGAAGGCCAGAGGGTAAGATTGATTGGGACACGAAGTGATGACCGTGAGACAGCTGAATGTTAAGGTGGCGGGTGCGATGGCGGATTCAGGATTTCGTCGACGGATGGCCACGCAACACTTTGGGTTCCCCGATAGCTTGGGGCCCACACAAAATTATCGGATCGTGGCCTTTGGATTGCAAGATTCTCACGTTTGTTATTTTGTGTACGGGAAACCATCTTCCTGTGCACAACCCAAGACAACTAAGCGCGGCACAAATATTTACGCATTCGTTCCTTCATTCATTCACACATTCGTTCTTTCATTCGTGCATACATTCGTTCCCTTGTTCATTCACACATTCGTTCCTTCATTCATTCAAACATTAGTTCCCACATTCATTCATACATTTGTTTATTCAGCGCATGCATTTTGTTCAAATCGCAGCGGATCCCACCATTTTGAGGCTAAATATTTCCGAGAAAATATGGTAACTTGAGTAAATGTTGGCTGCCAAATATTACCAAAATTGAGCACGGCAATCGATCCGATGGCTGGTTGCGACCGACCCGTTTCCGGCGGCTAGCCAGCTGGTCGATGTTGTTGTCAGCTGGTGGCCATTGACTAATGCAGAGTTTTGTTCTGACTACAATGAAGGAGTGCGAAGCATGCTGATATTCAAACTCTGTTAAGAATGTGATGCACGGGTTTTATGAATGTCACATATTCCACAACCAATGGGAATGAAATATACTACGTCGGTAAGTGCGTAAAATCTTCTCAGGCAATGACGCGCAAAAATGCATCGAAGCACATGCGGTAGCAGCTGAATGCAGCTTAGGCGCCAAAGCAACTCGTCATGTTGTAGATTTCGGATTTGTGTACATATGTATCAATTTAGCCAGGCTCGTCGGCGCGGGAAGGCGAGCCCCGGAAATGATGAGGCTCGCGAGTACGTGCAGCACTTTTGGCAACAGAATAAGATCCTTCTGACCTCATGGGAAGAGCCCAAGGCCATCGTGGAGACCCCCGGAGCAATCAAGAGTGTCCCAACCGACCAACATGTATGGCCCCGTCAACAACTCTGATGAAAAAGGGGAAACCAAAAGACCGACCAGCAGGGACGGTGCTTGAGCGATGGAGAGTGCCGCGACAGGTTATCAAAGACGCTCCCATCGAAAACGTAGAATCCTGCAAACAAATTTAAAGCCCCCAAGACTAAGGTGGCGGACCCTGTGCGGTCAGGAGTGTCCGAGCAGGTAAAAGGAAGGGGCCCCGCCTAGGATGTAGAGCCCTCCGCAAATGAGAACAAGTGGAAAAAGCCCTAGACAAATGTGCAGGCCCCTTGAGGATACCTGCATCGGAGGGCTGACCAATATGGCCCCCAGCAACAGCGCAGAACACTCCGAGCAAATGCAAAGAACACGAAACCAATGTGGAGCGCCCCTGAGCAACCGAGAGTAACTCGTCTGTGGCCCCCGGCGATAGCGTATAGAGCGTTTGGGGCGAGTGGAGGGAATCCGTTGAGGGCCCCTGGTCAATCAAGAGTGTGCGGTACGTTGGCGCGTAAGGCCCGACAGCAACGTGGGGCCCTCCGAGCAAATGGAAAGAGATCAAGGACAACGTTAAACGCTGCGTAGTGACTGGAATGCCCAGGGGAGTGGACATTTTAGGTCCCCGGCAAAGCACAGGGCCATTGACAGCGGAGTTATTCCTAAAATTTCCCAACCAATACCCTCTCAAAGAGTGAAGAATTGTTTTTGTTTGTTCATGGGCCCTTCACTTTTACTTGGGGCTGTTCTTGGTTACCTGGAGGCTCAGATATGTCCATTTTTCGCGTTTGTGTTAAAGAACCTGACTCCGTTCGGCCGGCTATGGACTCCTCAGAGCTTACAGCCCCCTTAGGGTCCAAAGCGGGGCGTGGCTCGTGGCGCCCTTGGGATCTGTCACTGGACAGGTGTATAAGTGTGGGTGAACGCCGACGGCTGTAGATCAGCGAGCTATTGGCTTGGAGTGGAAACAAGACGCGAGATGGCAAGAATTCCTTCATGTGGGCGTTAAAGAGGTGTAGGAGAAAAAGTTAGAAACCGACAAAAGAGTTGGAGGTAACGTCATCCTGGCGTCAAAGATATGCTTATGGGTCATAAATGTGGCTTCCACGTTCGGATGGACTGTTGAATATTTGGTCAAGATGTGAATGAACAGGTTCTGTACCTTCTAAGCAGCTCACGTCATAAACAACGTGACGCACGTCTCATACGGCATGTTCATGTGAGTATGCGAGCTTTTAATCAAGCCCCTAACTGGTAAGTGCCTGGTCATAAACCATTCCCGAGTATTTGGACACGGTTTTGCAACATTGTTACTTTAGGCTGGGACTCGCAATGCGAAACGCCGACCAGCACGGGCCTTATCGCCTCTGCCCTGCTACATTGGTCTTCATCCACCAACGATGTGGTCACTTTCACTGCTACCGTCATTTTGGCGCTACCTGTGCACTGCGCGCATCTGAAATGCGTTCGCTGCGTCAAATCAGCACATTGATTGCATGACCCTCAACGGCAAGAAGCAAATCAGAGCGTGCCCATTTTCGAGGACAGCAGGTCCAATCGCAGCAGATGAAGCTGCTCATTGGAACACCAGGAGTTATTGGCATTCGGGATTCAGCCAGATCCTTACTAAAGCGCTCATCAAAACGTGGGCCGACGGTTCATGGGCTGCTTCTGACCCCACCAAGCTGATTCAGCCCCCCTACACCGTTCTCCAACGTGCCCGCGCTCTACTTTATTCTCGGTTCATCTGATAATACTGGGCTCGCGCGATTTCCGTCCCAATTTATGTCGCATTACGTCGCGTCCTGTTTGATTAGGGGAAGGGGCGTGATTGGCCGTGACGACCAATCAGACAGCCGCTCTATAATTAGGTCATCGGGTGAGCCATAGACGCCACAGCTGTCCCCAGAAACTGTTTGGCTTTGGAGCCACGGCCAGCTGAATCGGAATCACGTGCCGCCACTTCCCGTGAATGAGCGCTGTGCTTTGTGCGTATACTTTAGGTCAGGGGTGAAAGTGACTTTGAAATCGGTGTACGTAACGTTTAACTCACACATTAGCCAAGAATACAACATATGAGGCCGGATATGGCCCTGAACGAGTGGCAAATGATGGCAGCACATTGTCGGTGCCTCTGATGTCCACGTTGTCCATGTCACCACGGGCCTGGTCTCCCACCCGCATGGCGATCCTTCTGGCTGGGTCGCGCCTGTCGCCTTGTGAAGAGTCTGAGCCGGCCCAGCCACGCCTCTACCACCGAAAACACGTGGCTGGGGGCGTCGTGGGCGCTGTATGTTGGCGGACTTGGCGTCCTGCCAAAAGGATAGCCACAACTTTGGCTTGAGTGGAGTTCCTAGCGATGCTGGTTTCAACTAAATGCACTTAACTCAGGTCACGACCGCGAGGCTCTTTCTGTTCTCCACCGGCTGGCAGTCTGGCTGGTGATCATCGACCCCAGATGCCATCTCATTTCGGGGCACTCGAATCTGCAACGCCGTTCCCGCAGCCGTTAAACAGATTCCCACCGTTCCGTCAACACAAAGGAACATTTTTCACGCATCACCCTCACGCTGAATGTACGTCACGTGCAGCGCCCAAGACTGGCCACATGTTTTCCGAATGCCGGCTGCCGGCATTCGCCCCACAGCTGACGGTGCAGTCATTTGAATACTCCCGTCGAAGCTTTACCCTCACACCCGCAAGCCGCCGCTGCCAATATCAATGGCTGGACGCGACGCGAGGAGGCGTCTATTGGAGCTCGGCTCGGCGTGATACCGTGCTGAGCCCCGCCCGTGGCGACATAGCAATAATCCTCACGGCAAAAATTGTGGCCGCGCCATTGCGTGGACGCCTCAGCTGAAGGTAGTGTCCAGGCCGGCTGTGCCATTTGTGCTCGATTGCGCTTTGTACAGAAACGTGGTGCGTCAAATTGATCACGTCGGTCTTGTATCCAAACATCTACAGCCTTCGTTTGCACCCCATTGGCGAATCCGAATGCATGTAGCCGGTACAAGCACCAGTTCCACTATACCGCCGGATTAGAAAACGTGCCGGACAAAATAGCTATCAACGCCTGAAATGCATCGTTGAATGCGTGGCTGCCGCGGGATTGATCTTGAAGGCGGACTTCTAATTAACAAAGCCATTCTGCGGGCATCGCACGCAGCCATCGGCATCGGACACGGGGTGGCCTGATGTGGCCCCAGGTGGCGCATAACACGCATCGGTTTGGCGCGTAGCCATAAGCGATTGGTTCGGCGAGGCACGCGCACACTCATTTATATACATGCATACATATATATATATATATATATATATATATATATATATATATATATATATATATACGTACATATACATAAACATATATACCATATGTAAATTTAATGCTAAATGCACCTATTACGCGGCAGTGCAATAGTACAGTTGGCAAGTTAAACAAGGTATGGTTCACCAGATTGATCAGAACAGAGGAGCAACTCATCTGAATGTGAACGATGCAGCCTTGG